TCTGACGTCACCTTCTGTCGTCCAGTGCCTGTTTTTCGAGTTGTTCGGTGCTCGTCGGTCCACTGCTTCCAAACTCGCATCACTGTGGAACTGTTCCGCTGCATACGAGCTGCTATTGCGCGATAGGAAAATCCTCCTTCTCGAAGGCCGATTATCCTCCCTCGTTCAAACTCCGTAAGTTGCTTGAATTTCTTATTCTTCCGTCGTGGAGGCATACTCAGGTCTCACTAAACGTTTGCCACTAACAAATAATCATAGACTATTTTCAACGTCCCGCTACAGCACTTTATTTATACGCTTTCAGCATCAATTCAGAGGGCGCTGCGCGCGCCACGCACGCGCGATGGCTCTGAAACTTTATTAATTTGCATAATATCCTATATCCATTATTAAAATAATATTTCATTTGATTCTGATGATTCCTTCATGGTGTTGCATTTTCTACAAACAGCAGTTTATTATTACAAAATACTAAAACTCATTGACGGAAAGCAGAAAATATTTTTCGAACTTTATTATATCGAATAAATATTGTAAACTTCGAAGAATGAAAAAGACTTAAAATATGTACTTGTTTTTTTTCCCTTGAAGATCAAGCACAAAAAATTAAGAAATATAAAAATGCATCTTCTCTGAAAATTTTAATTCCATAAAGAATTTCCAAAGAAATATTAGAGCAGGATCTTGAGCTATTTTTAATTTCCTATTTTGCTTTAAAAAATCCCCTTACAAATTATTTCTTAGCTATTGGCGAAATTTTTTCTTTTCAAGTTTATGTTTTCTGCAATAGAATGAAAAGCTTTATTTATAAAATAAGTAAATTAAAAATAACAACTAAAAATATCTTTCAAATTAAAATATAATTTTTTTCCTAAAAAATAAGTAGTTCGTATTTTTTTTTAAAAGTAAGTAAAATATTGTTATAATTTGATCAAAAATATTGTATTTAAGGAGACTTGGTAGGCCATACGTCAATAATGCTGAAACTGACATTTTTCGATGTACCTGTTCTAGGAAACTACTTATGATATCGCTCTGAAATTCTTTGGAGATATTTGAAATTATATCAGTTGTATGCTGTGATCTTTGTGATAATAGTTTAGGCTTAACAATAATTCTTTTTGAGTTATGAAAGATTTTCGTCCAAAAATGATCAAGCTTCTTAAAAAATTAAAATTTTCAGGTCATATTTTAAAAAAAAATTCTATCAAAGATATGTATTATCAGTTATTACAGTGTAAACATGTATATGTAAATATTCTGTCAAAAAACTGATTCCATATCTTATTTAGATGCTGAGAAAAAGTATGGGTCAGTTTTAGCATCGAAATAGGTCAGTTTTAGCTTTATTGGTATACGCTTAAAATGACCCCTTCAGCCTATTATACCCTTTCCCCTCATAACCCCTTTTACCCCTTAAATATATTTTATTTAGTAGAAAATGATACATGTTTTTAAGTCAAGTATTTAAAAATATCTATTCAAATAGTTATTTTTATGCAGTGCTTTATAGATTGATGCAATATTACAAAGTTTAAAACAATGTTGTAATGGTTTAAAAAAAAAGCTTTGTTATTCTTTGATAAAATGCAGATGAGATGAAATTAATTATTTATTTTCGAGCAATAGAAATAGAAAAACATAAAAAACTATTAGTTATTTAATTGCATAAGAAAAGTAAAAGAAAAATAATGTAAATAATATTTAAACATCGCGATTGTGTTTTTTTTTAGTTGTAAATCAATATTTCAATGACAATTGAAAGGAACATAGCAAAGTATTTTCAATTTTCTTTCGGTTGAAAACAATCGATGCGTGGGGCATTTTTTCTTTGAACTTTGTTTTTTATTTTTATTTCTTTGTCTTTTCTACAATCGATTGAATTATATATTTTTTTAAATTTTATTTCAAAGACACACAAATAAGCAATCAATAAAAAAGGCTTAAAATTACCTGTTAAAAAATAAACTTCTTTTCTTAGAAAACAAGTTGTTTAAGAAAACACAGTTAACATTTATTCAAAATTACTTTATTTAAAAACACTTGTTAAAGAATTGCGCGTAGAGGTTGACGTTTTAAAGTATAATATACTCTTCCTCATAGCTGATTATTTTTATAGTATAGACTAATAATTGAATGCTATAGTTATTATTTATAGTAGATAATAAAACAATAAATGTGCATTGATAGGGCAGTTGAAGCCCAGTAGTTAGACAATCGGATTGCTGTCCGGGGGGGGGATCATCTTCGGCTCTGCTAATACCCACCGAGAGTATGCAATATACGTGATTGTAAAATCTGTATAATCGAAAGTCCTGTGGTCCTTCATGTGCATCGCTGATCAGTACCATTGGTACAGGGATATGAGGAAAGTTTCATTCTCCTTCAGATCAATGTCTAAATTGAGGAAGAGGCCGCACGATTCTGAGTCAAGACTTATTTTCACCCTTGCGGTGCTCTCTCATTAAACGAACGGAGCACATTCCTGATTCAATTGGCAGAGCCAATGATTGGAGAACTTGGCTTTTTCAAGTGTTCAGCCAATACCTTCGTCCAAAAATAGCAACAACACAACTATTAATTATTTTATTGTGGAACAAAAAAATGAGGAAAATAAATTTCAAAACATAAAATTTAACTAATAAATGAAACAGAATTTTTGAGCATTTTTGTGCATTAATAAAAAAATCTTACTTCTTTAATTAAGAGGCTATACAAGATAACAAATAAGTGAATAATAAAGGCTAAAAATATCAGTCACAAAAAATTAAACACTTTTCATTATGAAATGCATAGTTTAAAACTATATAAAATGAAAACTCGTTAATATTCAGAAATATTCTTTTATGCTGGGTACTATTTGTATGGACTGAAAAGTGAAAGCTATGTTTATTATTTCCAATCAATATAAAAAAAAACTGAAAAACAACTGTCAGCTCTTTTTCTGTGTAGTAAGACACAAAAGAAAATAAATTGAAAAATATTAAAACACTTTGGCTGTGCATTTTTTAGTTCCAAATCAATTTTTCAACGACATATAAAAAGAACACTAAAAACTGTTTTCAATTTCCTTTCTGTTGCTGAACAATCAACATATAAATTGCTTCTTAGATATTTGTGATCTTTCTTTTTCCCTTTAAATTTCATGTATTTTTTTAACAATTGAATGAAAATAGCTTTCTTATTTTATTTGGAGGTCACACAGAGCTGGAAATAAAGTAATCCAAAAGAACAACTAAAAATAAAAAATTCTGTTAAAGAAAATCGAATCTTTTTTTTCTTCTTTCTCTTACCCAATAAGTAGTCCGTACTTCGCGGATCTACTTTATCGAATTCTTTTTTGTTCGAGACATATCTATACTTCAACCTCCTCGTCTTCTTGTCGTGCTGCCAGGAGTCGATGAGATTCTGTCCATCTTCCCTTCTTCCCATGTCCGAAAGGATTTCGGAACCTTCCTCTTTAACTGGAAGGAAATGGCTCCTACCACCCCCCAGGATCACCTGCAGGCAGAGGAAGAGAAAAAAACAGGAGATATAAAAAAAGCATCTTAATAAGTAATTATGGTGCAGCTATATTTGTCTGTCTTTCATTATTGGAAATGTTTTCTGGAGATTGCAATATCGTGTTTGACATCGTAGATATTGTTTACTACCTCAATCGAAAAACGATAGAGTTGGAAATATATCATTGCTGAATGTAACTGCTTGTGGTTAACTTTATTTACGTCATGTTTGGGGTCTTTTTTGGATGGGTTTTATAGCCACTTAAGATTTGTGATATCGGCGAAGTAATAAATTTGGGGACAAAGTTGTTAGATAAAAACTTATTCGAAAACATGTCTAAGAATTTTAGTTTTTTTCTCCGGATTATTCTTACTGTAAATAAGAACAACGACTCTTTTTATAGTGATGTTATGTAGCCTTTATAGGTTTCTGAACAAAAAAATCTGAGATATTTTTCATCAGAGTATGTTTTTAGGCATCCTAGAGTAGTTCTGGTACAAAATATTCCGATAGTTATTTGTCAACTCCATTCTTTGGCATATTAAAAAAATAATTATAAAAATATATTCTTAAAAAAAATATTAAAAAAAAATAATTATTTAAAAGTAAATAGTGAAAAAGTGTAGTGAAAAACTTCTCAGATTTTTTCAAGCATTATTTTTACTGTAAATAAGAACAATGATTCTTTTTATAATATGATTATGTAGTCTTTGTAGATTACAGAACAAAGAAAATCTGAGGTCTTTTTCTTCAGAATGTGATTTTAGGCACCCTGGACTAGTTTTGGTATAAAATATTCCGAATGTTATTTGTCAGTTCCACTTTTTGGCACATAAAAAAAATTTTTTAAAAAATAATTATTGAAAAATTAAAAAGTATAGTGAAAAATACCTCAGATTTTTTCGAAGATTATTTTTACTATAAATTAGAACAACGAATCTTTTTATAATATGATTATGTAGCCTTTGTAGAATTCTGAACACAAAAATATCAGAGATATTTTTCTTCAGAATATGATTTTAGGCACTCTGGGCTATTTCTGGTGCAAAATATTCCGATAGTTATTTGTCAGCTTCATTCTTTGGCATATTAAGAAAATAATTATTGAAAAATAAAAAAAAAGTATTGGTCAAAAAATCTTGTCATAAACAGAATTTGCAATTGAAAAAGTAATAACTTTTGTAAAAACTTATGTAAAAAAATTGTATAAGAATACTAATTTCGCTTGTTTTTTCCTGGATTATTCTTACTGTAAAAAAGGAAAACTTCTTTACAATGCAATTTTGGAGTTTTTTCTTGAAGTTTCTGAACGAAAATGCGTGCAAGATTTGTTTAGTTGAGATTTGATTCGTAAACCGAAACAACTTTTTTTCTTCTAAATATGATTTTTTGCACTAAACATAACGATAGTTATTTGCCAGCTTTACTCTTTAGTATTAAAAAAATATTTGAAAAAATTGAAAAAAAAAGAGAAAAGAACTGAAAAGCTGAAATTTTGCAATAAGCGAAAAGTGAAATTGAAAATTTAGGAAATTATCCAAAACATGTTTGAAAAAGCCGTATAAGCTTATAAATTTTAGCTTAAATTCTTTGTAATTAATAAATTCTTTGAAAGCAGTAAGAAAAGTACAATAGGACACTATATACAAAAGGAAAAAACACATGAATTGTATACATTTTGTCAATAACATTTAGCTAAATATGCTACACTATCCCCTCCTACATTTTTTCTCTCGGAATAAAGACCCAGTGCTTACGTTTATATTTCTTCCAGGATCATTTTCCACTAATTGCCTCGCTATGTCTTTGCACAACTTTCGATCTTCAACTGGAATTTTCGAATCACTCTCCCAGTAGCGGCTCGGTGAATGACCATACATAGCTGCTGGTGTTGCGTGCGTAACACGTGTCGTAGTTACTAAGCCTGTAGCCTTTCCTGAAATGATGTAAACACAGGTCTTTTAATGAAAGATAATGCATGATATAAAAATCGCAAACAACAGGTGTTTGAAAGGAAATAAATTGTAGGCAATAAAAACAGGATGCTACTCAAAATAAATCTTTTTTTTTCTTCATAAAACAATGATAATGATCTCAAATTTAAAAATATAGAGAATGTCGTGTGTAACATTTTAAGAAAACTAATAAAATTATGTAAATGATTTCAAAAGGGGCGAAATCTCCCATGACCTTCCTGATCATAATTTAATTCAAAAAGCAAGTCCAATGGCCTCGGGTTCGAATCTCGCTCTGGGCACGGATGTTTCTCTCTCTTGTGTTGTCCTCTGTTGTGTGTGATGAGTAAATGTGGCCTACCTTATGAACGAGTTTGTGGCAGTGTGGCGGGGGCAATGTTACTCGCTTCCGTGACTTTGGTTCACAAGTGCCCACTGGGTAACGCGAAATGAGTAACAATTCCGGTATCTTCTAAGGCGAAACGAATAAAGTTCAGTGCCTGACATTCGAAAAAAGCAAATATTGGAGCAAACAGGAGGGTAATATTTAGCGTGAGAGATGCGAAAAGCAAAGGTAACATCCATTTGCAGATTTTTAGCCCAGATGGCTCAGTAGTTGCGGCAATGAACTGTCACTGTGATAGAGTAGGGTTAGATCCTCAGTGGTGTTAATAGGCCTTCAGATAGATGGCTACCAGCTTGTCTGAGAAATAAAAACGGCCTTTGCGCAATGCTGATCTCATTGCCACAATCATGTCGTTCGTCATGAAATTGTAGAGCCTTAACCCCGTGACCCACCTGGCTCACATCAGGCTGTTGCGGGAATGTTTTTAGTGGATTTAAAATAAAGATTGATTACATCATTATTACTTCTTTTTTCTGTGATTGTATAGTTTTCATCAAAAGCTCCTTTTATTCAAAAATTCTATGAGGTCAAATGCCCTACAAGAAGTGAACAAATAGATTATAGATCAAACGGGGAATATCCAAGCCAATGCTCTTGCGGCTTAACTACCACTACTGTTATTAAACATTAATCCACTGATATATAAGACATGCTAACTTGATTCAATCACGAGGTACCTTTTGCTAGATAAAGGTTGGCATTGTTGATAACTCCGCCCCCCACACTGGCGACCTCCGAACGGGGTTTGAACACGCAGTAACGCCCACTACGATCTGGTAACGCCTACTTCGATGGATGATCCACATTGAACATTTGACTTGCTACTTGTGAATGCGACTTTATCCACCTCCTCACGCTGTTGCTGCTCAGTCTCGTCTCGAACATACACAACGTCAGCCTGCATATACTCGACTGCTAGAGGTAACACAGGAGCGACTACGACCGTGAAGTTAATACACCTCTCACATTCAGCACCCAAAAACCCGGTGACCTAAATTCCAGCTCTCCCGGTCTTTCACAAGTACAGCAACTAGTGATATTAGTTCATCGAATTCTATCCCTGATAAAATTCTGGTGGGAGAGTATTATGGCGTAACTACCACCACGGTTATTATTAAACATCAATTCACTGGTATATCCCCTTATTTCCGAAGCGTCACGAAAAAACATCTACATGCAAACTCCGGATAGGTGTTGTTTCGTGACTCTCCAGGTATATAAGGTGGGGAAGGTAGCTTCGCGGTTGTTGGGGTTCATTGGGGGAGGGGAGAAAATAGGATTGTCAGTTAACATCAATTAGTTCCCTCCCTATGCATTGTTGAAAAGTTTTCTCCTAAGGTTGCTATTCTTAACTTTAAAAATTGCAGGCATGGCTCTTAGAGAAAGCGCCAAACACCAAATTTTATCTTCTAATGCAAACTTCACGGAAAGACACTGTTTTAAATCAACAAATGGACGTATCCTGTGTTATAACGAAATGCTTCACAGCCCTTTTTTATAAAAAATAAATAAATAAATAAATGTTTTTCAGAATTGATGTTAAAGTATTTACAATTATTTAATCAATAAGAATTTATAATTGTGTCAAATTNAAAAAAAAACAATAGAAAAGATGTAAAAAGAAAACAAAAAAAGAAGGAAGGAAACTTTTACAATTCTAGTTATTCGTCGCCAAAAAAGTGCTGAACTAACGTTTTGGTAAATGGGGTGTTTTAAACTTATCCAACAATTTGTTGCTGCATGCATTTTATCCCCACTTGACTGAGTTTCAATGAAGAGAAAGGAGAATCATTTACACCCCTTTTACTTATCTCACTGGGTGGGAACCGTGGTCGAGTTCAAGTGAAAAACCTTCCTTCTGAAAACTGCCGTAACAGGGGAACTCAAAATCTCAGACCCTACCGGAATGAAAGAGATATAAGACATGCTAACTTGATTCAATCACGAGGTACCTTTTGATAGACAAAGGTTGGCAGTGTCGATAACTCCGCCCTCCACTAAAGCTAACAAGAAAATGACTAAATGTACGTTCAAATGTTTTTTTTTTCAATTATCCGTGAACATTTTTATATACAATCCTTTTTAAAACTGGGCTTTTGCTGTTGTTGCTAACCCTCTATCAAGTTCGAAGCTAAATCAAATCCATGACACCAGCAACTCTAAGCACATCAAGTACGTAGAGTGGATCCACAGGGACATCTCCTCCAGAAAGACCAAGTTAGTCGAGGACATAGTAGGCTAAAACTGTTATTAAGCTAATAGTTTACAAGGGTTATGTATCTTTCGTACTGTTTAGATATCCCGACTATGTTAATTTACAGATAGATGTCCATCTTACTAAAATATTCAATTAAAACTTACCTTCAGCTTGAGCCCAATCTGCTAAACACGGGATTCTAGCTTTCAGGCTACTTTCACACTTTTCGTATGTTCCAGTGTCGTCTAAACCTACCGTCTCAAAACGGCCTTTCACTCCGCATAGCAGAGCAGTAGCGCAAGCACCCGAGTCTCCCACTTGACTGTCAGTGTTGTAAGTCTGAAAAAAAATCACCGTCACTTAGTAGAACTTGAAATTATTAGATAATTTTACATTAAGGAATGTTAAAGGTAAAAATCCTAAATTATATGACATTGATATGTGTCATCTGAATTAAATAATATTGATTTGTGTCTTCTGGATTAAATAATATTAATCTGCGTCCTCAGAATTAAATAATATTAATCTGTGTCTTCTGTATTAAATATTGTTCATCTGTGTCCTTTGAATTAAATAAGATTAATCTGCGTCTTTTGAATTAAATGCTGTTAAATTTTCATTGGAAAGTTAAGTCATATATGTAAACACGATACAACACAATTGAAGGGATTCGAGTTAAATGTAATTCAAAAAGTACAACTTTTATGAGATTAGCCTTAATAATAGCCTTAATTAGCCTTAATAAATCATTAGCCTTAATTATGTTTGCAATATATAGAATTTTCACTATTTTTATATGTCATCGGCATTTAATAGACGATCCTTATCGATCTTACTGCAGTTTTTTTTAAAACCGGTGATCAACAGTCATTTCAATTCCGAGTTTATGACTGTCAATGTTCAATTCCAAAGCACTGTAATTGTGAACCCAACCCAGATAACAAGGGAACCTATGGATCAAGCATTGGGACTAACTAGCCTTTCGTGGAGGATTTTCTTACTACTATAGCAATATTCAACTGCACGACCGCTCCGATCTTACTTTTACAGCAATATTTTACTACACAGCTGCTCCGATCCTACTGCTATAGCAATATTCAACTACATAGCTGCTCCGATCTTAATGCTATAACAATTTTTCACTACATAGCTTCTCCGTCCTTACTGCTATAACAATATTCAACAACATAGCAGCTTCGATCTTAATGCTATAACAATATTCAACTTCATAGCTGCTCGGATTTTACTGCTACAGCAATATTCAACTCCATAGCTGCTCAATCTCACTGCTATAACAATGTTCAGCTCCATAGCTTTTTAATTAGGAACTCGTATTCGTGGAGGGTTGGGAAACTAGGATAGAAAAATCTTTAAAACCTTTCATGGTTAGCCAGATCGCAATATCAGCAATGGTCAGTACAAGCTGGAATTAGTATCATCAGCTATCTTCGGGATTTTTCAATCTGGATCAACTGTTTGGGTGATAAACTATTAATCATCTGAACCACCCGGATATTTTTCATGGTTTTCAATATTTAAGAGGTTTTTATAATTATGATTCATGATTTATAGTTATGATTAGTAAATTGATTGGTCAATTTTAGATAATTAAGAATCATAATTATTTTTGTTCATATTTTGCTAAACCACATGCGTATCTTACTATAAGAAATACAAAATAGCATCTCCACAAAACACTAGATAATCAAACAGAATAATATTGTTCTTACTTTCGCAAGAGCAATGTAACCAAACTTGTCAAACGCCAGCTCATTTTCCTCCCCTGTTTGACCCCGTTTTTGTCCACGGAGTATTCTGGCAGTTGTGACTGTTGTCATGCCCATTCCATCCCCTATAAAAAGAATAATGTTTCTGGCAACATTGTAGTTCCTGTCATCCTCCAAGTTTCTAAGCAGCTGATTTTTTGCTTGTTGATACCAATACCATCGATCTAAATGGAGCAAAAAATGAAATAATTAATAACTTCTAAATTTGATACTATGCTGAATGTTAATGACATTTCAGGTACAAAAATAATATCATTCTGGTTTATAAAATCTGGTAAATAAAAAGGAAATAAACCATTAATTTTGTCATATTTCCGGTTCATTTGGTAATGGTTCAACGAATATTTTAGTTATCAGTAATATAGTTCTTATAACCACACAATCCCAGGGCTATAATTATGCCGGAGCAGTCGGGGTGTTGCCCCTAGTCCCCGATGGTCAAGAAGGGGGGGAGCTTACTTAGGGATCACATTTTTTTTAAATTAGGGTAATTTAAAATCTATTATTTCTTATCTTTTTTTAAAAAAATAATTTTAGAAAAAGGAACTGCTAAAATCAAAATTTCTAATTTTTAGTCTCAAATTTAGATTCCTCTTCCCTTAAAATTGAAAGAAGAGAGAAGATTTTTTCTGATGATTTTTTTCTTTCCTGGGAAGAACAATAACGCTTAGCAGAATGAGGTGTAAAGGGTCAAAGGCATACTACTGATAGTATATTTTATTTCAGCTTCAACCTGTAGTAGTTGATAGTTGCTTCATCAATGATCTAGTCTGACCACTTAAAAAGACTGCATTACTTATCCTTGCCGAAGTTGTGATCATCTAACCTTAAAATCTTTCCAGGAAAACCATTTGACGGCCCATTAACCATTATCTTCGCAATGCCATTTCTGTTTCTAATTCCATGCCTGAAAAAAAAAATTCTTTAGAAGAAAAGCACTGAGGTCCCTTGTCACTCAGTCCCTATCCCTGCAAAAAAAGTGTAGTACCTAATTTTTGTTAGTTCAAACCACGCAGCAGTGTTCCATTTTGTACAAAAAATTCATACTTAATATTGAAGCCAAGTTTTAAAAATAAGTGTCAAATCGTTCTTAGGTTTTTGTTACATAATATCGAGATAACTTTACACATATCAAAATTAAGTATGTTTGAACTTTTTTTAAAATTTTGAATAATTTATTAGTATTGATTACGTTTTACAAGAAGATAAAAAAGATTAACAGTCATATAATGTAAGTTTCAATAATAATTGAAACGAAAATTATATGATTGTAATAAATTTTGTGATAAAAATGAGTCTTATTGATTTTGTGTTTCTAAAATTTCATAATCTTGTTTGCGTTTATTAATAAAATTTACTGATTATGTTAATATTTTTGGTTTTTATTATCTTTTTCTGCAGTTGGCGTCTGCAATGCGTCAAACATAAATATTAAACAAAATTAAAAATTATTAATTATAAAGCTGCTTCCTTTATACGAAATCAGTGTTGCTTTTTATGCAAATAAATTCATAAGTTATTTAATATTGGAAGATTTCTGAATTGTTAATCTAATTAAATTTGCTATTAAAAAAAGTTTTAAATTTATTATGTCTCAAATGTTTCTCTGCCTTCATTAATTTCCGTATGTTTCATCGTGTTGCGTGCGTGTCAAGATAAAAAAAAATATAAAAATTAAAAATATTTTAGCTATTTCATACATAAAATACGATTCATTTTTACAGTTAGTGTTGATCTTCATATAACAAAATTGAAGGAGAAATTTAATTATATTAAAAATTATTGTTGAACAAATTTAAAAAGATTAATTTGTTTTATGTAAAATTCTCTCATATTTACCAAAATAGTGTTAGTTTCTATGCTCTAAAACTTAAATAAAAATGAGTAGTTTTATATTTTTAATACTTAATTCTGAACCGCTTAATTTATATTCAAATTGCATAAATTAAAATTGCAGCTAAGTTTTTTTCTGTTGTTACTTAAAATTTTATTAATTATGATAATGGTTCGGACCTTTTATTTGAGTAAATTTTCCTGTCTCTCTTTTTTCCCAGGTTTGTTTAAATATGTCTGGTTTTAACAAATTTTTTAAAAAAATAATAAACTGTTCTGTTTAAATTATTTGTATTCTAAAAATTTAGGAATAACTTAATAAGAATTTTTTTTTTACTTTTTAAAATTGTAAAATCAATTATTCGCAATGGGTTTGCGATTAAAGCACTGAGTTGTAGTTGCAAAGTGCTGGGTTAATTGAAATTTGATGACCAGTGTCCAAGTTAATTGAAATAAGAATTTTTGCCAATTGTTTTATCAAGTTTCTATTCCTGTATGTTTAAATTTACGGAGTTGAGAAAAACCTAAAGACTTCGAAATAGAAATTATATTGAGAAAAAGAATATAATCAGCTCTGAATTGCACGGTAGTGCTTGCAGAATAATTTCCAATTAATGTATTACTTTAGATAAAATTAAAAATAAAGTGTTTTGAAAACTTAAGCTCTTTAATATAGAGTTCTCAAATATGGGAGCGTCCAGATGCATTTTGACAAGCTACATTTGAGAAATAATTATGAAATTTTAATACAAAAATCCCTATATATCATAAAGCATAAATACCTTTTAAAACGATTCAAAATGAAATCTCAAATACAGCATTATTTGTTCTCTTTATAAAAATGAAATATATTTTGTTTAAAAAAAACTCTTGTTCAAGTAAGAAAAATTTTAGGTTTGCAAAATCTCACTAAATTTATCAAAAGTCTTGTAATTCTTAGAGTCATAAAAATCTTACTATCTTTCAAAATTATTTAAGAAAATGTCCTCATGATGAAATGTCCGAAAAATAAATTTCGAGTACACACTTCGAAAATGACCTATTTAATAATTATTATATTACTAAATGATGTAAGATAACAACGTAAGCCTATTTAAATGTATTGAAAATTGAGTTATTAATGTGTGATTATTTTGTATTATTATCTATTGTATGTATTATGTATTTGTATGTAATATTATTTAAACGTAATATTTTTTTTGCGTAATATTCTTTTTATGTATTATTATTTTGATGCAGTAAACTTGGATACCAAGAACAAGTTTTTGAGTTCATTAAACTATGCTCCCCGGAGCCCCTGACAAGTTTCTAAACCAAACAATTTGCATTCTTGTTTTTGATCGAGTATTTTCCAAGGCTTATTGTTCAAAAATTGCCTAATTTCTGGAGAACAATTATTATCTAAGTATTTTTATGTTATATTTTATAATCGGTATTGAGCAACCGACCTCATTCTGAGTTTACGATTATCAACGTTCAAATCCATAGCCTTATAATTTTGAAACCAAACCAGAAGACAAAGAAGCTCCCAAATCAAGTATTGGGACATGCTTGGCTTCGGGGATGACGTTTTATTGGAACTAACCTACATTTGCGTTACGCGAAGAGAAAAATCACGATAACCTGTCATAATTAATCCGACGCCAAAGAGATTGTAACTCATGGTCCGACAACCATTGAGGATATTTTAGGTCAGCATTGTGGTAGGTGCGAGCCCGGAGAATAATTCAAACAACCACCTATCACGTAGCTAACGTTATTATTTGAATCTCGGTCTCCTCATTGGGAGACGAACCTTTATTCACTGAGCCACCGTGACTCCAGCTGTTATATTCAGGAAATTTACAAAACTCAATTTTAGGAAATTATGAATTAATCAGAAACTTATCACAGTACCAATTCCAAATTTGTAAATCGTTATTTTTTCTATTATTTTATTTAGAAATTCATTAAAGCTCCAATTTTGGAAAAATGCCTAATGACGATGTGATTGTTTCCTCTGTAGTTCGAAGATTAACAAGGCTCCAAAGTTTGCATTGAAAAAAGGGAAAAAAACTGCTAAACTTAAATTATATTTCGCTATCTAACTTCAGTAAGAACTTCACTAACACTTCCTAAAGTTTATCTAAAAAGAGATTCGAATATATTCTAAGATAAGCATTAGCTTTAATATAGAATATCTAATAAAAATTTCAACACGACTTACAATAATTTACTACAATAGAATTATTTATAAAGCTTTATGGTAGCTATTTTCGGTATAGTTTACTTGAATGTACTATATTTTTTATTGATTCTCGAAACAGTTGTTTGCTTTTTTAATAATTCAACATACTACTTTATGAAATCATAAGACATTTTCAACTTTTCTCGTCCGTTTCTTAAAAGGATTTCCAGCTTTCTTTGTTCTTCTAATATTGAAAGAGGCATTTTATTTCTTTTATTTCTCTCTTTTCTTTTAAAAAAAGTTGAACGTGCACATTTATACTACTGGGAATAAAAAGTTTTCAGTTTTTGTTTAAGCGTGTGTGTGTGTGTTTTTACTATTCTAATCCATTTGAATCCTTTTACTAGAAATATTCAATGCAAAATACATAAAATTGTATATAAAAGTGGCTTTTATATCAAATAATTATACACACTTGTTTTGTTTATATACACTTTATTCATAGGTGTAAAATAAGGAAATTAAACATATCAAATAACTTTTGATCTAATTATCAGATTTTTATGTACTAGGACTCGGTCAAAATGGTTCGAGGGATATGCTTATTAATTAGTACGTACTTCGCAGGTTGTTGTAGTTGCAGTTCCTTTACGTCGCACTACAGCTGCACAATGGGCTATTGGCGTCGGTCTGGGACACATCTCTGAGGATGATCCGATGACCGCCACCACAATTTCGATTCTCTGCAGTGGGGATGGCAACCCCGCTTCGGTAATCCAACGACTTGCGCTCGAAATCGAGCACTTTACGGTAGAACAGTTTAACGAGGACCAATACCCCACACCCTCTATTCCTACGCAGACTTATACAAGTGGTCACCCACCCGCACACTGACCACAACCAGTGATGCTTGACTTTGGTGATCTGCTGGGAACCGTGTCTTAACGATCAGACCACTGCGGGAACATACTTCGTGGGAGGCCGCATCATCGGTAGGCGGGGTTGAATGTTCGTATCCGGAAATTAAAGCTCCCATACAATGCAACGCTACAACAGTGATGGGTTTTTTTTGGGTGGAAAAAATGGACACAGGTGAAATGAATAAAGCGAAACGATGGCTATGAGACACGCAATAGCACAACAGCACGGGATGACAGACACTTT